ATTTCTGTCTTCTTCATTTCTATCCCCATTTAGCCGTTTTGCCTCAATTAAGTTCATTTTCAGCTTTTCTCTGTCTTCCTTGGAGAGGTCTTGTCTTATTGACCAAGATTTGCCAACCTCATCACTCTGCAGTTTCCTGGCATTTCTTAGCACTTCCATCATGTTTTTCACTCCATTAAACGTCACCCTTAAGGGGCGGTTCTTTTCTTTCTCATATTTTCCTATTCTTCTAAAATCACTGACATTTTCCTTTGAGCCTTCTCCTAAACCTACTATTTTCTCTATGATTTTCATCTCTTCTGCCGCTCGGTCCACCCTAGATGAAATTTCCTTCTCTAAACATCCAAAAATGATTATGGACTTAGTTCTATCTGCAGTGTTTTGTACCAGTTTACTGTTGGTAACCAGTTCTTTCCTAATTGCTTGCCTAATTTCTGCTTCTTGTTGGTCATTTCTGGTTTTGACTTCCGAACACACTTCTTTGATAGTCTCTTTCTCTTTTACAACTTGTGCATATGTCGCTTTTATTTCTTCTTTATACTTTTCTAGTTCTTTATTCACCTCCTCTATGGAGTTGTCATACGTACGTGTAGATCCTACCTGTGTGTGTGTGTGTGTGTGTGTGTGTGTGTAATTACCTAAGTGTAATTACCTAAGTGTAGTTACAGGATGAGAGCTACGCTCGTGGTGTCCCGTCTTCCCAGCACTCTTTGTCATATAACGCTTTGAAACTACTGACGGTCTTGGCCTCCACCACCTTCTCACTTAACTTGTTCCAACCGTCTACCACTCTATTTGCGAAGGTGAATTTTCTTATATTTCTTCGGCATCTGTGTTTAGCTAGTTTAAATCTATGACCTCTTGTTCTTGAAGTTCCAGGTCTCAGGAAGTCTTCCCTGTCGATTTTGTCAATTCCTGTTACTATTTTGTATGTAGTGATCATATCACCTCTTTTTCTTCTGTCTTCTAGTTTTGGCATATTTAATGCTTCTAACCTCTCCTCGTAGCTCTTGCCCTTCAGTTCTGGGAGCCACTTAGTAGCATGTCTTTGCACCTTTTCCAGTTTGTTGATGTGCTTCTTAAGATATGGGCACCACACAACAGCTGCATATTCTAGCTTTGGCCTAACAAAAGTCATGAACAATTTCTTTAGTATATCGCCATCCATGTATTTAAATGCAATTCTGAAGTTAGAAAGCATAGCATAGGCTCCTTGCACAATATTCTTTATGTGGTCCTCAGGTGATAGTTTTCTATCTAGAACCACTCCTAGATCTCTTTCTTTATCAGAATTCTTTAAAGATTTCTCACATAATATATAGGTTGTGTGGGGTCTATGTTCTCCTATTCCACATTCCATAACATGACATTTATTAACATTAAATTCCATTTGCCAAGTGGTGCTCCATATACTTATTTTGTCCAGGTCTTTTTGAAGGGCATGACAGTCATCTAAATTTCTTATCCTTCCTATTATCTTAGCATCATCAGCAAACATGTTCATATAATTCTGTATACCAACTGGTAGATCATTTATGTACACAATAAACATCACTGGTGCAAGAACTGAACCCTGTGGTACTCCACTTGTGACATTTCTCCATTCTGATACATTGCCTCTGATTACTGCCCTCATTTTTCTATCAGTCAGAAAATTTTTCATCCATGATAGAAGCTTACCTGTCACCCCTCCAATATTTTCCAGTTTCCAGAACAACCTCTTATGTGGAACTCTGTCGAAAGCCTTTTTTAGGTCCAGATAGATGCAGTCAACCCAACCATCTCTTTCCTGTAATATCTCTGTGGCTCGATCATAGAAACTGAGTAAATTCGATACACAGGATCTTCCAGATCGAAAACCATACTGTCTGTCTGATATTATATCATTTCTCTCTAGGTGTTCTACCCATTTAGTTTTGATTAGTTTTTCCAATACTTTCACTATTACACTTGTCAATGATACAGGTCTATAATTGAGGGGGTCTTCCCTGCTGCCACTTTTGTAGATTGGAACTATGTTAGCCTGTTTCCACCCGTCTGCTACGATTCCTGTACACAGGGATGCCTGAAAGATCAGGTGAAGTGGAATGCTGAGCTCAGATGCACATTCTCTCAGAACCCATGGTGAAACGCCATCTGGGCCAGCTGCTTTGTTCTTACCGAGCTCCTTGAGCATTTTTTCCACTTCGTCTCTAGACACCTCTATGTGTTCTATGTTGTTCTCTGGAATTCTTATTGTATCTGGTTCCCTAAAGATTTCATTTTGTACAAACACACTTTGGAACTTTTCGTTTAGTGTTTCACACATTTCCTTTTCATCTTCCGTGAATCTATTTCCCATTTTCAACCTCTGAATATTATCCTTTACCTGCAATTTGTTGTTTATGAATTTATAGAATAGACCTGGTTCTGTTTTACATTTGTCCGCAATCCCTTTTTCAAAATTTCTTTCTGCCTCTCTCCTCACTGCCGTGTAGTTGTTTCTCGCATCTTTGTATCGCTGGTATGTTTGGGGGTTCGGCCTCTTCCTGTATTGATTCCATTTTTGTGTCTTTCGGTCTCTAGCCCTCTCGCAATTTCTATTGAACCAATCCTGTTTCCTAGTTCTGCATCTCTGTTTTGGTATAAATTTTTTTGTGCCTTTATCATATATTTCACAAAACTTGCCATACATCTCATTCACTTCCTTGCCTAGCATCAAGTCTGTCCAATTATACTCACTAAAAAAATTTCTAAGGTCACCATAATGTCCTCTCCTGAAGTCTGGTTTTTCAACTGCTTCAACCTCCTTATTTTCTTCCAGCTTATAACGCATTGCATACTTTATTCCCAAAAAGACATGGTCACTTTTACCCAAGGGAGGAAGGTACTGAATGTCAAATATCTCTTCCTCCTTCCTGGTAAATATCAAATCTAGCATGGAGGGAACGTCCCCTTCCCTCATCCTCGTAGCTTGTTTAACATGTTGATACAAGAATGTTTCCAGGATGAGGTCTACAAATTTACAGGTCCAAAAATCTTCTGTTTTAGCTTCATATGCTTCCCAGTCTATGGATTTCAAGTTGAAGTCACCGACTATCAACAGTCGTGATCTATCGTTATCCGCTCTCGCTATAATCTCTCTCATTATTGTTATAAGACCTTCACGTTTACTATCTAGCTCCTCCTTTGACCATGTGCTGCTTGGCGGTGGACTATATGCATTTATCATCATTAGTTTATCATCCTCATAGCAGATCTCTAGTGCTATTATGTCAACTTCTTGTGGATTGGCAGTCATTATTTCCTTCACCTTTAGGTGTTCTTTTACCAGCACAGCAACGCCACCGCCTTTCCTAATTTTTCTGTCCCGTCTCCAAATTGAGTAGCCCCTTGGGAATATGACCTCATTTAAAATTACATCTTCAAGTTTTGTCTCCGTGAGTGCAACAATGTCTGGTGTCTGCAGCTGTATTACATCACTTAACTCCAGTATCTTCGATCTCACTCCATCTATGTTGGTGTATGCAATCTTCAGGAACTTGTTCCCCCTCTCCTTATTCTTCACTCCCCCTCTCTCTATTGATTTTGTTGGTTTGCCTTTATGTACCACTTTACTGGTTTGCCTACCCCTATCACTTTGTAGAAAAAAGAATTTATTTCTTCTTCATTCCTGCTCTCATTTAAATGTTTTGCCTCGGCGAGGTTCAGTTTCAGCTTCTCTCTATCTTCTTTTGAAAGATCTCGTCTTAACGACCACCCTTTCCCATCCTCATCCCTTTGCAATTTTCTAGCATTCCTTAGTACTTCTTCCATCTGTTTGGCACCGTTTAGGGTGATCCTCAAAGGTCGATCTTTCCCTTTTACGTACCTGCCTATTCTCCTGTAGTCGCACACATTCTCTCTGTTTGTAAGACCTTCCACGAGGCCAACAATTTTATCTACTACTTTAGCTTCTTCTACAGCTCTTTCTGACCTAGATGTTATCGCCTTTTCTTTGCAGCCAAAAATGATCAGGGACTTACTCCGATCAACTGTGTTTTGCACCAACTTCGGGTTAGATGCCAATTCTTTCCTCACTTCTAGCCTAATGTTTGTTTTATCTTGGTTGCTGCAGTGTTTGACTTCCTTTACTGCTTCTTCTATTTTTTCCTTCTCCTTGGCCACTTGTGCATAAGTGAGTTGCATATCTTTCTTGCACTGTTCTATTCCCTGTGTAACTTCCTCCATCTGTGCTGACAAAAGCTGTTTCTCCTGTTGAATTTCCTTGCCTAACCTATTGTAGTCATTTATGTTTAAATTTACTTTAACTTCTTCCAAAGCTATTTTTAAGAGTTTATTTTCTTCTTCCATGGCTTTGCAATTTGTTTCCAATTGATTCTTATCCTTGCGCAAGTCTTTCACTAAACCCTCAAGACATAAAACTTTGCTATTCAAATGGTCATTACTTTCTTTCAATTTACTAATTATTTCTACATGAGAGTTCACTATAGTATCTAAATTTACCAACTTGTTATGTAGACTACTAATATCAATGCTTTCTTCATTGAATCCCTCAAAATCAAGCTCTGTTTTGTTTTTCCCCTTGCCAGTGGCCATCTTGAATGTTCTTCTCTGCACTGTAAACACTAGGGCAACTTTTTCTCATCTGATTTTTCACTTCCCTTAGCACTTTCCTGTTATCTCACCTATTTTTCAAGAGCACTATACCTTTATGTTCTGTGGGACACCACTCACTACCATCAACCTGTACTACAATACTTAGGATTGTTGAAATATGCTGGAGCTCCTCTGCTGCAAGTGTTGACCCTAGGGGTGTCACCTTTTCTCCTAGGGTGTGTGTGTGTGTGTGTGTGTGTGTGTGTGTGTGTGTGTGTGTGTGTGTGTGTGTGTGTGTGTGTGTATGTATATATATATAAATAATAATGTTCAACTATACAATTGTACAGTATTAAGAGTAATACTGTACTCTTACGTTTTACAGGTTAACACAGCTTTATTTATTGTCGTTTTTGTTTTAGATGGATATAGGAAATAAAGTGCCAAACAAATGGCCCAAATTTCTGGATATGACAAAGGACGAGTGCCGGAAAGCTCTTCGTGCTCTAGGTAAGATATATTTTGTATGTTTTTTGTATATTTTTTAAGACTTGGACTTTATGGTCTCCGTGGTGTAGTGGTAAGACACTCGCCTGGCGTTCCGTGAGCGCTATGTCATGGGTTCGTATCCTGGCCGGGGAGGATTTACTGGGCGCAATTCCTTAACTGTAGCCTCTGTTTAACGCAACAGTAAAATGTGTACTTGGATGAAAAAACGATTCTTCGCGGCGGGGATCGTATTCCAGGGACCTGCCCGAAACGCTACACGTACTAGTGCCTCTACAAGAATGTAACAACTCTTGTATATATCTCAAAAAAAAAAAAAAAAAAAAAAACAAACTTATATTCTAAGCAGATTATATGAGAGCAGACTTCCATACTATTAATACTTCATTTAAATATTCCCACAAATAAATAATTCAAGCGTACTGTATTTTGTATCTATAGCCATGACTAATTTTTCTGTTGCATTCTGAATGTGAATTTTACAAATAATTTGGTCTCATCTGTTCCTTTGTGTGTTGTAGCATTTGTTTAGCATCTGCCAGAGAATTTTGAAGGTGGATAGGCAAAATACCTGATAATATAATGCCTGATAAAGTTTTACGATGGAAATCAAACGGCTATTGTATCCAAATAAGACTATTTGTTTAAGGAAGTCTATTGCGGCACAATATAAGATGGAAGTTTAAAGTGTAGGTCTTTTACTAGATTAGAATTGTTTGCCCATGATTAAAAAAAAAAATAGTTGAAAATGTTACGTATTCTCACATGGGCATTTTCAACAAATATAAAAGTTATGAATTTGTGTCAAAAGTCACATTTATTATGTTAACAGTTTCTGTAGGAACCCCCCCCCCCCCCCCCCCTGTGGCTGAGTGGTCAGCGCTACGGATTTGTAGTCCTGTGGTCCGGGGATCGATCCCCGGCGATGGAAACAAATGGGCAGAGTTTCTTTCACCCTGATACTCCTGTTACCTAGCAGTAAATAGGTACCTGGGAGTTAGACAGCTGCTGCGTGCTGCTTCCTAAGGATGTGTAACAAAAAAGGAGGCCTGGCCGAAGACCGGGCCTCGGGCACGCTAAGTCTCGGAATCATCTCAAGATAACTTCTCAAGATAAGATCTCAAGATAACCTACAAGGGTCTACTGGAGAAAGGGACAAGAATCTTGACTGCTCAAAGACATCAAGGGAAACCTGGTAATTAGAGATCAACATGGAGAAATGAGCAAAAGGCCCACCAGAAAATCAAAAAGCCGCAAAAGCAAGCTTAGAGAAATGTGTAACCCTGACAGGAAAAACCAATCCAGATACACAGCCCAGAAACATTCAGAAACACAGCCTAGGGAAAGTACCGGTATGCAGTCGGGGAATATTCAGTTCCTTAGCCCAGAATGATTATGGTACACCAAATGGAACGACAAATAGCTGAGGCCATAGACTGGCAAAGCAGCCGAAAAGATGAAAAATAAAAATATAAAATCATTATTCTGGCTGGTCTGCATGTCAATATCAACACAGGCACACAGCGGGAGAAAGCCAGAAGTGCCAGAACTCCAGGTGACATGCCCGACCACTTTGCAGCCACCTGCCCCCACAAAATTGTACGAACACGAAGAAGGGGGGAAAAGGAAGAGAAAAGCAACCAAGCAAAGCTTACTACACCCAATGACCACAGTTCGGCACTGGCAAGAATGGATGAACAGCAGTTAGAAAACAGAAGACCACAACAGAGGGGTAACAAAGCAAGAAAATCATGCAGCCAAAAAACTCAACACAAACCGAAGAGGAGAGAATCCCTCCCGTCTCCATGGAATAGAGCTACCAAGAACCCAAGAAACAGAGCTGCAACATGGTACCCTAGCACCGAGGTGGGCACCAAAGTCATGCAGGCCCTTGAAGCTGAATGAGATGCAAGGACCTGGGGGGGGAACCAGCTATGGGGTAGGATTTTGACGAGAATCAAGACCCAGAAATGTACTTGTGGGGGATGGAAGATTACAGAGCAGGAATCCAGCTCATATGGCTTGTAATGGCTGCAAAAACACCTGGATGTTGTGAAGTGTCACCATTGATCATTTGCTAGGAGCTTGAAGCCACCATAAACCTCTACCCACAGGACGAAGCTAACATCTCCAGATGCTGGCAAGCCTGCAGGAAGTGAGGAAAGCATCATATTATGGAATTCCCTGAGCCCCAGAACCCCAAGCTCCATTGTATACTCCACATAAATTATGTGGAGGGGATAGAAGGCCCAGCCACCTCCTTCTGCAACTCAGACATAAAAACCCCCTGAAGATGCCCTGACCAGCCTTTCAGTTGTCAGAGCTTGCAGAACCCTGGTGCAAAGCTGGTGCATGAACCAACAGAGGAGGGTGAGCAGCCAAGCAAGCAGATGCCAGAGGGACTTGCCTCTTGATGGCAGGCACTAAGGCTCGGAACTTAGCACAAGTGTTTTGGGAATAATAATGTCTGACGACCTAACGTTTAAGGAGCATAACCAAGCAAATATTGCGACAGCCAGAAAAATGGTAGGATGGATTACGAGAACTTTCAAATCCAGGGATCCCATCACAATGGTTGTACTCTTCAAGTCACTTGTGTTGTCCCATCTTGAGTACTGTTCAGTACTCACTTCCCCCTTCAGAGCAGGAGAGATTGCTGAAATAGAGGGAATACAGAGAACATATACGGCACGCATCGACTCAATAAAGCACCTAAATTATTGGGATCGTCTCAAAGCCCTCCAAATGTACTCACTAGAAAGAAGACGAGAGAGATATCAAATAATATACACCTGGAAGATACTGGAGGGCCAAGTACCAAATCTACACAGTAAAATAACAATGTACTGGAGTCAACGATATGGAAGAAAATGCAGAATAGAACCAGTGAAGAGCAGAGGTGCCATAGGCACAATCAGAGAACACTGTATAAACATCAGAGGTCCGCGGTTGTTCAACGTCCTCCCAGCAAGCATAAGAAATATTGCCGGAACAACCGTGGACATCTTCAAGAGGAAACTAGATTTATTCCTCCAAGGAGTGCCGGACCAACCGGGCTGTGGTGGGTATGTGGGCCTGCGGGCCGCTCCAAGCAACAGCCTGGTGGACCAAGCTCTCACAAGTCAAGCCTGGCCTCAGGCCGGGCTTGGGGAGTAGAAGAACTCCCAGAACCATCAACCAGGTATCAACCAGTGTTCAATACTAACAACTCAACTTCATCCTTAAAGAGCAAAGTCATATTCACTGTCTTATCACCCAAGTCCGAAAGACACTACCAAGCACAGGACCATGAGGTCCAATCCCACAGTGCAGCTGTAGCCTGGTAGTCCATCAACTGGGAGGATGTCTCGGCTGTAACGGAAGCCCAACAACAAATATTGCACCCCCCTTGGGTGAAAAAATGCCTGAGTCTAACAGGCAGTGTGATGGAGACAGCAAGAATTTTGGAAACCAAAAAGCACCGACTCTCAGTGACCCAAATGCACCCTCTTCCACAATGTCTGTGTAGGTGGCTTCATGCTTTGCTGTTCAATTCTCGTGTGGGGTGACGTTATCTTGAGGTTAGTTATCTTGAGATGATTTCGGGGCTTTTTAGTGTCCCCGCGGCCTGGTCCTCAACCAGGCCTCCACCCCCAGGAAGCAGCCCGTGACAGCTGACTAACACCCAGGTACCTATTTTACTGCTAGGTAACAGTGGCATAGGGTGAAAGAAACTCTGTCCATTGTTTCTCGTCGGCGCCCGGGATCGAACCCGGGACCACAGGATCACAAGTCCAGCGTGCTGTCCGCTCGGCCGACTGGCTCTGACATCGTCATTTGCTTATTTCTGAACTTCAGTTACTTCTTCAAAATGATTTCACAATCTCTTTTCCGTGGTTTACTCTCAGAGGCTTACCTCTTTCAGAGTTCTTATATCTGATGGGGTTAGCATGCCTTCAGCTTAGTTTGACTCCTCATGAGTCGCTTCTGCCTCATCTTGGTCGTGGCCATTGGTACTGTTCAGCCCAGGGGGCCAGATTCACGAAGCAGTTATGCAAGTACTTATAAACGTGTCCATCGTTCTTCAGTCTTGGACAGCCTTGGTTACATTTATTAAACAGTTTACAAACATGAAAACTTGCCAATCAACTGTTGTTATTGTTATAAACAGCCTCCTGGTGCTTCGGAGCTCATTAACTGTTTAATAATTGTAAACAAAGCCGTCAAAGATTGAGAAAAGATGTACAGGTTCGTAAGTGCTTGCGTAACTGCTTCGTGAATCTGGCCCCAGGTTCGTAAGTGCTTGTGTAACTGCTTCGTGAATCTGGCCCCAGGTTCGTAAGTGCTTATGTAACTGCTTCGTGAATCTGGCCCCAGGTTTGTAAGTGCTTGTGTAACTGCTTTGTGAATCTGGCCCCAGGTTCATAAGTGCTTGCGTAACTGTTTTGTGAATCTGGCCCCAGTCTCCCAGGGTGTGTATGGGAAGCATACAGATCCTGGCAAAGATTCATTTACAACATCTACAGACTTCTTCAGTAGTATCTTGCTTCCTGCCAGTCTTCTGTCTTGTCTGTAATTGTTATGTCTTGACTGATATGGCTCTTTTTCACCTTCAGGCAGGTTCGTTCCAAACACAATGGCTTCCTATTGCACAGATCTGGAGGAGCCTCTTCAGCGTGACATTGACCTCAGCTTTTTTTTAGCCCTTTGTATCCTTGGAACATCTTTTAACACCTGTTCATACCATGTGTTGTTAACACCTGTCTTATTATCTTGATAAGACTTAATCATCTTAACCTTAAAGACCTTAACACCTAATCATCTTGAGTAGGTGTAAGACTACTCGTGTCTTTTAAGATTGTGTTTTTCCATTTTCCTTCATAAACTTAATCTTGAAAACCTTGTTGTATTAAAATGATATGAAAAATACCTATTGGGTGCTGTTTTAGGTATTGTTTATTGCTCTGATGCAATTTTAAATTTTATATTTACATCTTTAGAGCTGACAACATACAGCCAAGTGGTGTCAGTCCTACGGGCTCAAGGAGAACTTACCAAGGAGAAGAGGAAGCTGCTGAATGACCTTCAAACTATATTTTCCATCACCCTTGAAAGACATCGTGCCGAGATTCGTAGAGCAGTAAATGACGAGAAACTCAGCACGATTGCAGACTCGTAAGTTGTCTTGAAGTTGCTACCTTCAGTTTGAGCCAGTAAGTTTGAGTTGCTACCTTCATCTCATTTTTCATAGTTTGAACCAAAATTGGTATTCTGTACCGTGTAAGTGGACAGGTAAAAATGCTATTACGTATATCGGAATAAATCTTTAATTGCAGTACTCTATTAGAAAAAAGGAGTAGCTTAAAATTTAAGTTTTATGCTGTGCCATCTTACTGATTCATGTCATAAGAGTTTGAAGGAACAAGGTACAATCATGCAAAATGTGCTCACTTTTGTTGATCACAATGAACAGTTATTGCATAACTGAGGATTATAGATGGATCCAGAGATCATTAACCCTTTTGCTGGAATAGTTGCCTCATAAGACTGTAAAACATTGATCATGATACGACTGTAAAACATTCGTCATGATATGACTGTAAAATAATCATAATACGACTGTAAAATAATCATTTGCTGCAAAAAGCATATTTTCCCAAGTGTCTCGAATAGTTTCTACATCCTGTAGCATTTCGCCAGACATCAGGGGCCAGATTCACGAAGCAGTTACGCAAGTACTTACGAAAGTGTACATCTTTCATTAATCTTTGACGGCTTTGGTTACATTTATTAAACAGTTTACAAGCATGAAAACTTGCCAATCAACTGTTGCTATTGTTATAACCAGCCTCCTGGTGCTTCGGAGCTCATTACTGTTTAATAATTGTAAACAAAGCCGCCAAAGATTGAGAAAAGATGTACAGGGTCGTAAGTGCTTGCGTAACTGCTTCGTGAATCTGGCCCCTGGCCTTCAGAACAGGAGTTTCGACCCAGTTGTTACTGCTGTCTGACAGCGAGTGAAGAGGGACTTAGGTGCCCTCTCTACCTAGTGAGAGTGTGAAATTGGACAATAAGGATGAAAATGATTAATACCGTTTTGTGTTTTAATTTCGTAATAATAAATATGTTTTTCTTAGCCTGGCTGGACCCAACACAGGAGTTGAATGGGCAGTAGAAGGTCGACGCTTGGTTCCACTTATGCCTCGTGTTCCTCCACAAACATCATATACTGCTATAGCTACACGAATGGCTCTCTTGTATTATGGCATCAATGCAAAAATGCCGCCCCCAAACACAACAGCATTGTATGGTAAATTGGATGGTAAGTCAAATATTTCACTTGTTTGTATATTCACATGTTTATATAATTATGGCTGTGATTAATTTATTCCAATTTTGGAGTCATTAGGTTAAATATGCCTACGAAACTCTCTGCCCGAAACGCTGCGCGTGCTAGTGGCTTTACAAGACTGTAATTACCATAATTGTATCCTCACATTCCTTATGTACATTCTTGTATATGCATAAATAAATAAATAAATAAATATATGAAATGCAAAATACGAAAGTTAAGAGTAGGTGGATTTTCTGAAGTATTTGGTACATCGGGTAGTGACATTAGTTTGAAAAAGTTGGAATTCAGAATATTTGAAAGCTGGCAGATTGAAATAAAATAAAGAAACTGCATTTTGCTCCTGAAAATTTGAATTTTTCAGATGTATTGATAGAGCATGTACATTATATTTATTTTAGGCTTGGAAAAAAATTGTATTATTCGCATTGTGAGCTGAATAACATGGGATTATAGAGATATAAATCACACACACACACACACACACACGGTGCAGAGTCAAGGTAGTCAATTTTGTTACTTGCTTGTCTATTAAAGCACCAGAACTCTCGAACCCGAATGTCCACAACATAATGGCAAAACTTGTGGACAGAGCCACAACTTTTGAACATCCTAGGTCATGATTAATAGGTTTTGATTAATAGGTCATGAATGCAGAAGAAATACTACATAGAGCTTGAGCTCTTGTACAACCACTCTAGCATTTGGGCTGGACGGTAGAGCACCGGTCTCGCTTCATGCAGATTGATAGTGCTACATAGCCTTCCCGACTTGGTGTCTTCTTTTGATAATGACTTACTTCATGCAGGTCGGCGTTCAATCCCCGACTGTCCACAAGTGGTTGGGCACCATTCCTTTCACCCTGTCCCATCCCAAATCCTTATCCTGACCCCTTCCCAGTGCTATATAGTCGTAATGGCTTGGTGCTTTTCCCCTGATAATTCCCTTACACACCCTTCTAGTAACTTGAGGACTCTCCAACATCAGACAGAGTCATGCCTCCATGAAAAACAAGGCAGCTGCAGCAAGGAAATGGAAACTCAGAGGATCCCAAACAAGGGCCAATCAGGTCTAAACCTGCGACGAGACCTGAAGGGACTTTTCCAGTTGACCAAGAACTTAAACTCAGCCAGCTGAGAAAGAACCAAATCCCTGGCGTGCAGACATGCAAACTGATTGGGAGTTCACGCCAGCCAGTCTTTGAGGTAGGGATGGATGTGAACCTTTAAACAACAGAAGACAGGAAACCACCACCTGCATCAACCATGTAACAGTCTGAGGAGCCAGATTCAAGCTGAACGAGAGACCCAAAAGTGGAAAAACTGATGCCCACCATAAACCCTAACCAGTTGCTGAACTGGAGAAGAATCAGAACATGTCATTAAGAATCCCATAGGCCCAGGGACACCAACCAGGAACTACCGGCATAATCATGATAAAGTTATCACATTAGAGGTTGTACAAAGAATGGAGTCGTTCAGATCTAAGAAGTCAAGAATACTGTGTACCATAAGTTTGACAAGGGGGTAACTCGACCACACTAGAGTCCAACCATTTTGTGAAGATCGCAAGAAGCTGCAGAGCAGACTGCTGGCCCAGGACCTTTGAAACTAAATGAGGTACTGAGGGCCATAACTCCTGCAGTCTCTGGGACATCACCTGGAATGCCTATACTGTACACTGAGGGGTCTAGGAGCTGGCAAAACTAATCAGACATCCCCCTACAGTGCTGTCAAGAGGTGCACTGAAAAGGCCAGTGCAGAGTACTGTATGCAGTCACCCCCTTTTGTGATGCACATGAATAGCGCTGACTAAAAGAAACAAAAGCGGACAGAGGCAGATTGGCCTGAGAACCTGGCACCCCAGCAGACAAAAAGCAAGGCCGCAATCCTAGAAGGCAGCTCCAGACAGCAGGGACAAAAATCTGCTGCAACAGGATATGACAAAGAGGATGGAATGCAATAGTCATAACTGAAAAACATACATGAATCATCATCTTCAAGAAAAAGAAGAGAATGGTATGGTAGACAAAAGTGAAGGAACCAAAGCCTAAAACATGGACCAGGACAGCTTGCCGGCACATGCACACCAAGCTGAAAAGAAGTCTCCCACTGTCTCCCGAAGGAGAGGAGTGAGCAACTTTGACAAAGCTTCCTCGGTCCCAGCCGCAGGCAACAAAGCGGCAAACCCCTGGCTTTGCCAGCAGTGCATCCGAACCATCCTGGAACTGAATGTAGCTCCTCCACAATAACCCAGGAGCCAAATTCACAAAGCAGTTACACAAGCACTTACGAATCTATACATAATTTCTCAATCTTTGGCGGCTTTGTTTACAATTATTAAACAGTTCATGAGCTCCGAAGCACTAGGAGGCTGTTTATAACAATAACAACAGTTGATTGGCAAGTTTTCATGCTTGTAAACTGTTTAATAAATGTAACCAAAGCTGTCAAAGATTGAGGAAAGATGTACATGTTCGTAAGTATTTGCGTAACTGTTTCGTGAATCTGGCCCCAGGTTTGCAATAAGAGAGGAAAGCTGGAACTGATCCCAGTGATCCTCTGCAGCCTTGGGCCACAGAGAGCGATATATCAAACACATATGCAGTTGCTACGTGCCCACATCTGGCAGGGCATAGTATTTACATAGAGTAAATCTCTCAGTATTTACATAGAGTAAATGTCTTGTTATTCTTGGTATAATATACACTAGTTCAGTACTTGAACTGATTAACTCATAATATTATTACAGTATAAAATGTACAAAAACTGAGGAACTTGTTCCACATATTAAAATCTGAATAAAAAATCAATTAAATAATGAGAATTTGCAGACGATGAGTCACAATAACGTGGCTGAAGATATGATGACCAAAGTATGTTGACCAGACCACACACTAGAGGGTGAAGGGACGACGACGTTTCTGTCCGTCCTGGACCATTCACAATCGACTTGAGAATGGTCCAGGACTGACCGAAACGTCGTCATCTCCTCATCTTCTGATGTGTGGTTTGGTCATTATGTGCAGGCGAGGAGTCACAATAATGTGGCTAAAGTATGTTGACCAGACCACACACTAGAAGGTGAAGGGACGAAGACGTTTCTGTCCGTCCTGGACCATTCACAATCGACTTGAGAATGGTCCAGGACGGACCGAAACGTGGTCGTCCCTTCACCTTCTAGTGTGTGGTCTGGTCAACATACTTTAGCCACATTATTGTGACTCCTCGCCTGCACATAATGACCAAACCACACATCAGAAGATGAGGAGATGACGACGTTTCGGTCAGTCCTGGACCATTATTAAGTTGTATGTGACTTGATAATGGTCCAGGATGGACCGAAACATTGTCGTTTCTTCATTCTCTGGTGTGTGGTCTGGTCGTCAATGAGAACTGATTATTATTTATCTTCAGATCTAGGTGCTGAATCTGATGATACAGACTCTGAAGAAGAGACTGAAGGTCTAAGATTCATCCAAGGTGCCATGGTTCCTCAACAGTACAACAGTGATCAGGGATCATACACGACTCTGCCGCTCTCACAAGCACGTTTATCCAAACTGCCTCCGTAAGTACATTTGATGTGATATTAGATTGCCGGTGTTTTCAAGATCTTGAATTTCTGCCCAAGTGAATTACTATACCACTGTCACTCAGTGGTATAGTAATTAGATTTTCCATGCTGTTCTTGCTACCCGGTACAGGTGTTGGGTGATAAGCGAGCATTTAGGAGGTATTGCTAATAGCCACTTTAACCCCTGGTGTATTTACCCATTTACTGTTTTATTCATAAACTAAATTAAGAATTTGAATTTGACAAATAAAGACAGATTGGTGACATCAGTTGTTCTCTCAAACTGTATTCATTATTGCAGATTACACTAACACAACATAATTTACATCTTTCTCTTTTTCCTTGTAGTTTTCTTTTAGTGATGATTGACAATGCAGGACAGCCCCCAAGCCCCGGCATGTGGAAGCTGCATAGAATCCTCAGATAAAGAACTAATTCTGTTGTCACTGGGAGGGTGGATCCAAATAATAGCAGTATCGGCTCCACCCATGTTTCTAATTTTAACATAGTCAGCTCTTAGACCACTGGAACATTATCTAACACAGTGCACAGTTACAAACCCATTAAGATTTCAACATAGATTCAACAGAGCAGAAGAAGTTATTAAACACATGGGGCAAAATCTTACTGAAGCGAACACACGAGTCCCAGCTTAACTTGTCCTCCTACAAAGAATGTTGCTTTTCGCTAGTATGTGTTACCTAATGCCAAAAATTGTCATACTGTACTAGAAAATGGAAGTGGCTCGTGAAACTAATGTACTGTCCCGTTTTCTGTTTTGGATCCTCTGGTAAGTTAGGATAAGGGCATATTAAACTGATCATTTTCTTGATGTTGGGAAACCTTACGAGGACGGGCTGCCCAAGTTCATCCTAGCTGGCTGACAGCCATTCGTGTTCCTTAAGCAAGTGAAAGATCTTCTGTTATAAGTAGGCACATAACTGATTGAAGGCTGCCCCATATTTTTAGGGCTTTTTTGGGGAACTTAGTATAGTGCCCATGAGATTTGCACATGGGCACTATAGTGGGCACTGAGTGGGCACATGCCCATGTGCCCACTCTACTTTTACTGCCATGTACTTGTGCATTCTTCTGTTGTGTTCCCCCTCACCAATCAGTCACAAAAGCCAGTTTGTCTTTCCTGTTTTCCAGGAAAGCCAGAAGCCTCTATTAACAATGTCATCTCCTCTATTAATATGATATTGTGAGTTCATAGAAATATCGTGGGGTCCATCCCTGAAATCAAACATTGAATGCTATGAAACATTTCTGGCATGCCCCCAGTAGCTTCCCATCTTGTTCCTTTCTTCTACATGTGGCTGAAGGAGTTTACTTGAGTGGCTCTAGAGTGAGACTAGCTTAGATTCTGGGTGACCTGGGCTGCCATCTGGTGGGTGTAGGGTACATCGTGGTCAGAGCATTTATTTTTCGATAGTGTCAGTTTGCCTTGTGTGGGAAGGGGGGTGCCTAATTTTCTTCAAGTTGATGCTCGTTTGTTGTGCCTGTACGTCTGGGTGGGTATTTTGGGTCAATTTCTGATCCCCAAGCTCCCCTTTACCTTGTAGAGTGAGCTAGAATATGGTCCTGGTCTCCGGAAGGTGATGGATGGGTCTCAAGAATCCTGGTGTGTTCCGCTAAGGCGTGGCAGTACCTGGACTACTCTTAATAATCTTTTGGGGGCCCACTGGAAGAGGGAATTTAATTACATTCAAGGATTTAATTTATGGTCATAAATTGCTCTTAAAAATGCTGCAGAGCCTGCAAAGGGGCCTGACAGCTGAGTGGACAGCGGTTCGGATTCGTAGTCCTAAGGTTCCGAGTTCGATCCCCGGTGGAGGCAGAAACAAATGGGCAAAGTTTCTTTCACCCTGATGCCTCTGTTCACCTAGCAGTAAATAGGTATCTGGGAGTTAGACAGCTGCTACGGGCTGCTTCCTGGGAGATGTGTAACAAAAAGGAGGCCTGGTTGAGGACCGGGCCGCGGGGACGCTAAGCCCCGAAATCATCTCAAGATAAGAGAAAGTAAGGGTTAAAAGTATGATTTTTATGTGGCAATCATTAATTTGTTTTTAAAGTCATAGTGAGCATCCCTTGAGTTGCCTTTGTGGCTTTGGTAAATGAAGAAGATTAAATTGATTTAATCCATGGTAAATTTTGTTAACATCAGGAAAGAGAACCGGGAAAATCGAGAAACCCCACCAACCACATCATCAGGCGGGAGTAGCGGACCCATGAATGTTGGCCTCGGGAGCAGTAGCGGTGGTGGGAGCATCGATAAACGAAAACGAAAGAGATCGTCTTCAACCGAACACCCTCTACCTCCTCCTCCGCCCCCTCCCCCAGCCCCTCGGGAACTACCTCCAGCGGCAGGGACACCCACAAAGCAGGTCAGATCATGAAAACTTGTAAGATAACTTAATAATGGTCCAGGATGACTCGAAACATCGTCGTCTCCTCATCTTCTTGTGTGTGGTTTGGTCATCACATCTTCAGCCACGTTATTGTGACTCATTGTTGGCAAAACTTGTAGTACTAATACACTTAAATATCTTTATTAGGTCATTAATGTCATAATCATTACATTTATTGACCATTGTTTTTGTAAATGTAGTTAAATCTCCCACCAATATATTAATTTGGACTGAGCCCCAATCCATTGGGCAAATCAGTTATACAATATTTGAAAACATCACTAATATACACACAGAAATCACAATAGCGTGATACATCAAATGAACAAATCCACAAGGGCCGTGACAAGGATTCGAACTTTCGTCCGGGATGATCCCAGATGCTGCCTTAGTCGATTGCGCCACGACATGATAAAAAATTGGAACCGGTAGTGCTAGTTCAAACCCTCAACACGGCCTTTGTGGATTTGTTATCACTAATTTGTATTAAATTCCAGTACATTAGTTCAATTTTTCAATCTGTTCATTCAGATGCTCTCCATAGTTATGGTACATCGACTGAATGTGACCGTGTCCTCCTTATGTTTAGTCCATGTGTTGTACTGATTCTAGATGTAAAGAAGCCGGTCGGCCGAGCGGACAGCACGCTGGACTTGTGATCCTGTGGTCCTGGGTTCAATCCCAGGCGCCGGCGAGAAACAATGGGCAGAGCTTCTTTCACCCTATGCCCCTGTTACCTAGCAGTAAAATAGGTACCTGGGTGTTAGTCAGCTGTCACGGGCTGCTTCCTGGGGGTGGAGGCCTGGTCGAGGACCGGGCCGCGGGGACACTAAAGCCCCGAAATCATCTCAAGATAACCTCTCAAGATAGGCATATAAACAATTTAATTTTAACATTAATTTATTATAATTACTTGAAAATTATCTGGCCATATCAATAGCTAGCTTCTTACAGGTAAAACTTAACTGTTCTTCATCTTTTATCATTTCTTTGGTGTGTAATGTGATATTAGTTACTGTTTTCTGTTATGATTTCAGTTCAGGAATTAAACTGAACTGAAGTCTGAACTAAACTGAACTGAACTCACATTTATCATATTTATCTGTTTGCATAAAATTTTGTGATCACAAATTTTGGCTAAAATCTTGACTGACTTAAGCAGATGAGTGGCATGAGTCGTCCATTGCCTGGACCGCCCATGAAGATCACCGTGACAGGGAATGTGGCCCGAGGAACACCCGGGACACCGATATCCACTCTAGGTGGTCACACCCAAAAGGTACATTTTAATCGGTAACTCTAGAGGGTAAATGATGTGGAAGTTCTTCATTCGAAATGTTGTTCTCTTTATGAAATAACACTCTAAAATCTACCAAGACTTTCTGAATTTGTCAAATTTTAAAGAAACCCTAGCAGGGGGAATTTTTAACATATTTCATGCAATATTCATGGACATTCATTTAGTTTAGTTCCCATAGCCTTTCCTTGTAACTCATGCCTCTCAATTCTGGGGCTTGTCTGGTGGCATACCTCTCAATCTTCTCTTAGTCTTGTGTTTAACTAGGTATTGACTCCAGGCTGGAGCTGCATATTCGGCTGTGAGAATACTATAGTGTGGTCCTGAAAAGTATGATCCCGTGATATGATCGGTCCTCTAAGTCTCTTGTCCTCCACGGTAGAAATGTCGAGATTTATCGAACATCCTCTTGTTCATTGTAATTCCATTGGATCATGTGATTTACACCTGCATGTAGGCTTATAGTGTCCTTAATGAGTGTTACTTTCATGAATTCTTGTATTCTCTGTGAAGAATATGTTACTATAATTTTTTTAATTAGGTCAGATAGGAGACAAGAAAGAATATTGGACAGAGCTTCTTATGGTAGAGACCTCTTCTTTAACTTGTTTCATTATTAGTGTTTGGGTTCAGTTTGTTAGGAGGTTGAAAATTTATCTTCACATTTCTATTCATTTTGTTTGCATCGTATTTGATTATGTATTATATCTTCGTCACATTCGTGAAGGATTTTACAGTCACCGTTCATTGTTTATATTGTTTGTCTTCAAGTGGATCTAAGAACCACTTGTTAGAGGCAGATGCAGTCTACTCAAAACCCACAATATCTTACATTGCGGCAGATGCAGTCTACTCAAAACCCACAATATCTTGCATTGTGGCAGATGCAGTCTGCTCAAAACCCACAATATCTTACATTGTGGCAGATGCAGTCTACTCAAAACCCACAATATCTTACATTGTGGCAGATGCAGTCTACTCAAAACCCACAATATCTTACATTGTGGCAGATGCAGTCTGCTCAAAACCCACAATATCTTACATTGCGGCAGATGCAGTCTACTCAAAACCCACAATATCTTGCATTGTGGCAGATGCAGTCTGCTCAAAACCCACAATATCTTGCATTGTGGCAGATGCAGTCTGCTCAAAACCCACAATATCTTACATTGTGGCAGATGCAGTCTACTCAAAACCCACAATATCTTACATTGTGGCAGATGCAGTCTACTCAAAACCCACAATATCTTACATTGTGGCAGATGCAGTCTACTCAAAACCCACAATATCTTGCATTGAGGCAGATGCAGTCTACTCAAAACCCACAATATCTTACATTGTGGCAGATGCAGTCTACTCAAAACCCACAGTATCTTGCATTGTGGCAGATGCATTCTACTCAAAACCCACAATATCTTGCAGTGTGGCAGATGCATTCTACTCAAAACCCACAATATCTTGCAGTGTGGCAGATGCATTCTACTCAAAACCCACAATATCTTGCAGTGTGGCAGATGCATTCTACTCAAAACCCACAATATCTTGCATTGTGGCAGATGCAGTCTACTCTAAACCCACAATATCTTGCATTGAGGCAGATGCAGTCTACTCAAAACCCACAATATCTTGCATTGCGGCAGATGCAGTCTACTCAAAACCCACAATATCTTGCATTGCGTCAGATGCATTCTACTCAAAACCCACAATATCTTACATTGTGTAGATATTGCAATTAAATGTGTATTGCAAATTGCACCGTAGTACTCTTCAGCTATTTAATTGAGCCTCTTCAAACTTTTTGTATTCACCTCTGCTTCTGTTTTTTTCTTGTTGAAATATACATGATTAAAAAAAATGTCTAGTTTCTGTTTTTTTAATGATAATGTAATGATAATTCCATGATTGTTAGGTAATTCTGGTATCAACCTCTGGAGCCAGTGGGGTCGGAAGCGGTGTGTATCAGCGTTCTCTCAGTGTTCCCGTCATGAAAAGTGGCACCGGGGCAGCACCCAGTGTAATGCGTGGTGTTCCATCTGCAGGTGGCACAGTGCCTGCGAGTCAAATGCAGTCAGGTTAGCAATTTATTGTTATTTTCAATCTACAATAATTTATGTTTTTTTAAGAATGGATACTTGATATTGAAACCAGTTTGTTTTATTCTGAGCCATTATTCCGATTGCAGTACTTAATTCTTTAAGTTCATTACATACATGTATGTATCTATACCTGTTATATACCAGTTGATTTCAAGGACCAATGTCCCACATGGACCAGTCTCTGACCAGACCTTCTGTTAGGTGCAGGCGATGAGTCACAATAACGTGGCTAAAGTTAGTTGACCAGACCACACACTAGAAGGTGAAGCGACGACGACGTTTCGGTCCGTCCTGGACCATTCTCAAGTCGATTCGACTTGAGAATGGTCCAGGATGGACCGAAACGTCGTCGTCCCTTCACCTTCTTGTGTGTGGTCTGGTCAACCAGGCTGTTCAATATGGCTGCTCACAGCCTAGTTGATCAGGTATACTTTCAAGGTGTTTGTCAAGTTTTCTTTGGAACATTGTGAGAGGTCAGTCAGTTGTGTCCCACATGTGTAGAGGGAGAGTGTTAAAAAATCTAGGGCCTTTGATGATGATCAAGTTCTCTTAGTGTGCTTATTTCACCTTTGCTTTTCAGTAGGGCTGTTTTGCACATCCTGCCATGCCTCCTGGGCTCATGTGATGTTATTTCTGTGTGCAGGTTTGGAACCAGTCCCTCTAGTATTTTCCATGTGTAAATTATTATGTATCTCTCCCGCCTGTGGTCTAGGGAATAGATTTAACATTTTTAAGCAGTCCCAGTAATTTACATGTTTTATTGAGTAGATTCTAGCAGTAAAAGATCTTTACATACTCTCCAGATGAGCAATTTCACCAGCTTGGAATGGGGCTGTTAGTGTGCAACAATATTCCACTCTAGCGAGCGCTATTGTCATAAAAAATATCATTGATATGGCATCCCATGTTTGAAAAACACTTGTTATCCAACCTGTAATTTTTATTGCAGTTATGACAGCTACTTTGTCGTGTTCTTTAAAAGTAAGATCTTCTGACATTACACACAGAAATCACAATAGCGTGATGCATCAAGTGAACACGGCCCTTGTGGATTTGTTCATCTTCCGACGTGATTACTCCTCAATCTTTTACTTTGTTTTCTCTTTCAATAATGTGGTTTCACCGGATTTTATGTGTGGCTTCTGTTTAGGTATTTTGTTTTTTCCATAGCGCAGTAACTGGAACTTATCCTCATTAAATATCATATTATTTTCTGTGGCCCATTGAAAGACTCGATTAACATCAGATTGGCAGTTTACTGTGTCCTCTATATCATCTACTCTCATAAAAATCCTCTTTCCATCTATGAAGGATGATACAGTACTATATTGACCAAACAACACTAGAAGATGGAAACAATGACGTTTCGGTCCATCCTGGACTATTATCAAATCGATTGATAATGGTCCAGAATAATAATGATAATGGTGTACAATCGACTTGATAATGGTCCAGGACGAACTGAAATGTCGTCGTCTCTTCATCTTCTGGTGTGGGGTTTGGTCAACATTTCTTCGGCCACGTTATTGTGACTCATTGTTTGCATACAGTACTATGATACATACTATGTATGTATCCTTGTCTATGTCTGATATAAGGATGAGAAAAAGTACCGGAGCTTATCACAGTGATTTATATGGATTTTACATTGTTGACTATTACACTCTGGGTTCTGTTCATTAGGAAGTTAAACATCCTTCTTCCCGCTTTGCCAGTAATTCATTTTGTACACATTTTGTGTGCAATATCACCATCTTCTTGAGGTTATCTTGAGATGATTTCAGGGCTTTTGATGTCACAGCTGACTAACACCCAGGTACCTATTTTACTACTAGGTAACAGGGGCATAGGGTGAAAGAAACTCTGCCCATTGTTTCTTACCGGCGCCCAGGATCGAACCCAGGACCACAGGATCAGAAGTCCAGCGTGCTGTCCACTTGGCCGATCGGCTCCCTGACCATGGTCAAATGTGTCGAAGACTTTTGCGAAATGAGCTTTGCTCGTCTTCCATGGCATCAATGGCCATGTCATAGTGGTCTAGCAGTTGTGAGAGGCAGGAACCCTGTCCTGAACCCATGCTGCCCGGAGTTATGGAGACACTGTGATTCCAAAACTTTATGATGTGTGATGTTAGAACCATTGGTCTATCATTGCTGCTTTACTGCTGGGAGCCGGTCGGCCGAGCGGACAGCACGCTGGACTTGTGATCCTGTGGTCAAGGGTTCGATCCCAGGCACCAGCGAGAAACAATGGGCAGAGTTTTTCACCCTATGCCCCTGTTACCTAGCAGGTACCCGGGTGTTAGTCAGCTGTCACGGGCTGCTTCCTGGGGATGGAGGCCTGGTCGAGGACCGGGCCGCGGGGACACTAAAGCCCCGAAATCATCTCAAGATAACCTCAAGATAGGGTGTGGCTTCAGGGGCTGTTCTGATATCTCTGGTTCCGCCTTTTCCGCCACTGCCATATTTGATGGATTCACACCCCAATCTCCTTTGTCAATTACTGTGTCATCTACTTCCTCTTTGGGTTTTTCGGGGTTCAATTACTTTGGCACCTTCCTCTGCCCTCACTCAATGTTTCTACGGATGTGTTGGTTCTGGGTTGGGTTGTGATGACCCGGCCAGGGGCATTGGCTGATTCCGTTCCATTAGGTGCACAGTATGGTGTGGGAGTTTGTGGCCAGGCGGCATGTCTTAAGGAGGATTCAGATTACTCTGGGCTCCATGCTCTGGCTTCATTCAGACTGTTTCCCAGTGGGTCATTGTTTGGACTTTGGGGAAAGTGGGCCCCTCCCTTCATTCCATTGGTCTGTCCCAATTCCTCCTCATCTCCATGGAACGGACCATTGAATCTGTCTCATTTTAGTGCCTTTGTGAGACATTCAAACACCCTTACATGGATCTGTGTGTTGACGTTGAACACCGTCTTCCTCGTTATATGGCTTCATTCCTCCAATTGATAGACCTTTCCAGTGGATACCTTTCAACTGGACTGGTCATGGTTGGGGGCTTCCGTACCTCTTTCCCCTGGTCCAGCTGTTGCTCTGGGTCTTGGCCAGGTGGAGTCGTACCAGGGAAAGGTGGCCCTTCAGGCTCTTTGGTGGTCAGCTCAGCCTTGGTTTGTGGCCCTGCTTGCTTGGTGTCTGAACCCAGGAATTTTTCGCGACTCTGTCTCTTTCAAAAGATCGTCCCAGGGACCTACTTCACTAGTTTGAACTTCCCCTTGGTTCTGAGAGTCTGGTCTGTTTTTTATATATCCTTATTGCCATCTCTATGGCGAGTGGATGACTAAATTGATGGTGTCCCACCTGCATTTGTCAGCTGCAGTATGAGTTTCTTGATGCTTTTTTTTGCAACTTTCTTTGCCTTCATTGTTAATCTTTGGTCTCTATTTGTTCGATCTTTACTGTACTTTCCTTTCTTGGTTGTTTTTAATGGCATCCCAACTGATGTGACCTAGTAGATGGGAATCATCTTTGTGAGATAACTTGAGAGGGCCACTGGATCTCACCCAAGAGGTTCTGGTTTGGCTCGCTCATCTTTATGTTGGTCCTCTCTTATCTTGAGGTTATCTTGATGATTTCGGGGCTTTAGTGTCCCCGCGGCCCGGTCCTCGACCAGGCCTCCACCCCCGGGAAGCAGCCTGTGACAGCTGACTAACACCCAGGTACCTATTTACTGCTAGGTAACAGGGGCATAGGGTGAAAGAAACTCTGCCCATTGTTTCTCGCCGGCGCCTGGGATCGAACCCAGGACCACAGGATCACACGTCCAGCGTGCTATCCGCTCGGCCGATCGGCTCCCAGGGAGCTAGAGGGATCATAGAGATATTCCCTGATCCGTTTGCCTCTATATAGGGGCCAAATTTTGTTGTCTGGACCCTGGTAGGCATGTAAAGAATTTCAAAGATCTGGTGTAAATGGACTGAATTGGTTGGATGTATCCAGGTAGCTAGCAACATGAAGCCTGTTATTAGGTACTATGTATATGCTCATGTATATGCTCATGTATATGCTCATGTATATGCTCATGTATATGGCTGTATAGTCATGTACATGACCAGCTTAATAGTGTCTTGATGGCTAATAATAACTTGTGTACATTGCATTCTCAGAGAAAATAAACAGCTTAATTTTTAATTACAATTTCTATATAATAATATTGTCCCGGACACCTAAAATAATAATAATAATTTTCTGTAAACAATTACAATTTCTATATAATATTTTTTTTATTTTTTGTGTCTATTATATACTGGCAATTACTAAATATGTTGATCTCTTCAGGAGGCGGTATGGGCTCAGGAAGTATGATCGTTCCGTCCACATACTCTGGAGGTGGATCACTGGTGTCTGGCGTGATGCCTCCATCTGGTTAGTGAGGAACCCAATTCTTCCTATTCAAAAATCAATTATTATTTCAATATCATCTCGAATATATTTTTATATACACGGTATGTTGTTTCTGGGCAGCTCGCTCAGTAGCTTCCATAGCTTGATTGCTTGCCATTACTGGTTACATTTGGATATTGCCAGGGATTCAAAAAGTCTAATGGCTATTAGGGACAAGGGGCCAGATTCACGAAGCAGTTACACAAGCACTTACAAATGTGTACATCTTTCCTCAATCTTTGACAGCTTTGGTTACATTTATTAAACAGTTTACAAGGATGAAAACTTCCCAATCAACTGTTGTTATTGTTATAAATGGCCTCCTGGTGCTTCGGAGCTCATTATCTGTTTAATAATTGTAAACAAAGCCGCCAAAGATTGAAGAACGATGTACATGTTTGTAAGTACGTGTGTAACTGCTTTGTGAATCTGGTCCAAGGGCTCTTGCAAACTCCTCTTGTTCCAATTAGGTAGTGGGATCATATAATGATTGGTAATCAAGCCATATGAGGTAAACTACCTTAAAACCACTGCACTGCGCAAAGCGCCTTTAGGCGCTCTGAGAGTTGTGCTTTTTGTTTTTTAATTAGGCTATAAATTAATGTTTTTTAATGTTTTCATTACTCTTTGTGTTTTGAAATGGAAATAGTTGACTTTGGAAACACTTTGACATTAACTTTACTTGAACATTTATGAAAATGACAAAAATATGTCCTTGACAATTGCACCAAGACGTTTTTGCCGAAAATAGGTGAGCAGTGCAAGGGTTAAATGCAATAAAAGGAAGGTGCAGTACACTCAAATTCCCTTAAAATTTATTTTGTAAAGTGTCAAACTACCTAATTTGCTAAACAAAAAGTTACGACTACTAAACCAGAGATCCCAGGGGCTCCCTCCGTCTACCAAAAAGTGGCAGCTGAACAATGGTCAGATTCAATGATAGTCCCACCCTTATTCTTCACCTGGCATTTGTTACAAAATGTCAAGAGACGGATTTTGGCAATAGAGCCAAATTTTCTCGCAGTTTCTTGAACTTTTGGGTCCTGCATTTTGGGTTGCTGTAAATGCAATTTACGCTTCAAGAACATGCACGATACATCTGTTCACATCATGTATTTGGTTTCCATAGTCATCTCACCTTGTGCTCCAGGCTTTTTACCACACATTAGTTCATTCTTGAGGGTTATCTTGAGATGATTCTTGATATGATTTCGGGGCTTTTTAGTGTCCCCGCGGCCCGGTCCTCGACCAGGCCTCCACCCCCAGGAAGCAGCCCGTGACAGCTGACTAACACCCAGGTACCTATTTTACTGCTAGGTAACAGGGGCATAGGGTGAAAGAAACTCTGCCCATTGTTTCTCGCCGGCACCTGGGATCGAACCCGGGACCACAGGATCACAAGTCCAGTGTGCTGTCGGCTCGGCCGACCGGCTCCCTACAGCAGATGTCCACTACAGTCTACATAAACAGCAGAACTTGCTTGTTAGACCAGTGGGCACCAGGAGCTCCACTGCCTTCCACAACTGTAGGGGGTGGGTAGAGCTTACGAGCCTGTGTTGTTTCAAGAGATTTGATAATTTGTTTGCATTGTTGAGAAGCTCATGTGGCAGTTTTGAGGCTTTAGTCTCATGGATCCCAGCAGTGGTTTGTATTGGTTCGTTGAATTTCTGAATGCTTTCTTGTTGGGGGTGGCAGAGTGTCACCTGCTTTTTGCACCTCTGGAAGGGGAGCCAGAGGCCAGATTCACGAAGCAGTTACGTAAGTACTTACGAACGTGTACATATTTCCTCAGTCTTTGACGGCTTTGGTTAAATTTAATAAACAGTTTACAGGAATGAAAACTTGCCAATCAAAAGTTTGTTATTGTTATAAACATCTTCCTGGTGCTTCGAAGCTCCTTAACTGTTTAATAATTGCAAACAAAGCCGCCAAAGATTGAGAAAAGATGTACAGGTTCGTAAGTGTTTGCGTAACTTTTTCGTGAATCTAGCCCCAGATTCTAGTGCTGGTTTCAGATAGGCCAAACATAATGCCATTGCTTATGTGACCTAGTAGCTTGGAGTCATCTTGGCAAGATAACTTCTGTGATTATAAGTGATTGTGATTGTATAAGGGGCTTCCTCCCCAGAAATCCAGCATTGGATGTAATGAGATGCCTCTTTCTGGGTGAGCCCCTGTGACTCTCTGATTCTTCACGTGGCTACAAGGGGCTTGCCCCCAAAAGTTTACGTGTGATTTGTGAGTGATCATTTTTGTGTAAGAATGTGTGAAAGTAAAAAAGTTATAAATGTTAAAAATGTACAAAAGTGCTATATGCACAGGCTGTCTGAGCTCCTCGATCATATTCATTTTTAGTTCCTGATACTTCCAGCAAGCATCTTCCCGGGCTGCACATGCCTTTGACGGACCTACAGACACACATGTTGGGGACCTGTACAGTAGTAGTAGTAGTAGTAGGCATCCTGCAGTCTTAGGAGACTATGGAATTGCACTCTGGTTGTTGAGGCTGGAGTGCCCTCGCCAAGGCACAAAGCTTGGGTAGGTAATATGGAGGAGAAGCTGTTACCCATGCAGCAGGTCTCCTCCCCCCCCCTCTCCACGATGCTGAAATGTTCCAATGGAAAGGCAAACATCAATATGCTTGTACAATATATACATTTATAGCTTGCTTTATGGCAGTACATTTAATTTTGAAGGCTATTATTATAATTGATCAAAATACTGAATCAACGTGACTGACTGTCTGTCTCCGCTAACTGGAATTGACTGTCTGCTTAATAATTTGACAACTGACGAATGATGTAACTGACTTTTGATAACTGACTTGACTACTGATGACCTGCCTGTCTGGTTTCCTGGTGGGATTGTACTCACCTAGTTGTGCTTGCGGGGGTTGAGCTCTGGCTCTTTGGTCCCGCCTCTCAACCGTCAATCAACTGGTGTACAGGTTCCTGAGTGTTGTGGTGGTGATGATGATGCCATATTGTGGGGCTGAAAATACCTGGTTGCATGCTGTTAGGTGGAAAACTTGTTTGATGGTCATATGTGATCACATTGGTTTATGTAGAGTGCACATGTCATTGAGCTTTTGTTAAGTGACCCATAGCACCTTCAGTGATCCTATAAGGGCTATAATCAGATCCTATCCTATTTAAAAAGTTCCCTATGTGTCGTATCTCCTTCCTGATAATTTATGATTATTGTCCAGACGATACAGCTGATCATACCTTAGTAGGGCTACCAGAATGGTTGTTGTTGTTGTTAAAGATTCGCTACCTGGAACAAAAAGTCCCAAGTAGCACGGGCTATGGTGAGCCCGTAGATGATAATCTGACCCAGAATGGTGCTTTAATTTTCATTGTCATATTTTTACAATGACATAAGATTTACATGTTTTAATCACAAATATACAATAATTTTTTTTTGGCAAAACAGGAACGTACGTGAACAGAATGAGGCCAAGAGTGCCTTCTGGTGCTCTTCCACCGAGGCCTCGACAGCGATCCAATTCTCTTGTTCTTCAGGCTGAAGCGGGGATACCACAAAGAGGTAAAATACTTATTGTTAGCTTTTTTAATCTTTAAAATCCCATTGATATTAGTGATTAAGTCATATGTAGTGGGATAATAATAACTCACAAGGAAACCCCACTAACATTGTGTTGATGAGAAAATGAACTGGAGCAACGAGGGAGCTCGAACATCAAGCCGTGCGCCTTACCTCTGGACCACAACATGGTATAAATGATAAAACCTGGGATTCCACTGAATCTACTGGATGTTTGGAGGCCTCTGTTGAAGCCAGTCCTCTTTGCTTCTGGGTTGCAGTTTGGGATATTAGTCAAGCCTGGCCTCGGGCCGGGCTTGGCGAGTAGAAGAACTCCCAGAACCCCCATCAGGATGATGGATTGTCATCCTGGCTGGCAGACAATCCATCCTTTCCTTGGGTCTTGGCACGGGTTCTGTCATTCCCCCACATGCTTGACTGGTGGGAGGTGAGCTCCATTTTTCAGGTGTTTCTGAGCAGGGCTAAATTTGCCCCATTTCAGTATTGCCTGTTTACTCCAGCGCTTCCCAAGGATATGGGCAAATAGCAGCTCCATGGGCCTAGGCTGCACAGCCCCCCCTGCACCAGGGGCTGGCATTGGGTTTCTTGATTGTTCTCTGGCTGGTTCTCTGTGGCTTGGCTGCTTCCTTTGTGGTCTTGGCCTATCTTGATGAGTGGCTGGTTTGGGCTCTGAGCCAGTCCGTGTCTATGAGATAGGAGTCGGTCGGCCGAGCGGACAGCATGCTGGACTTGTGATCCTGTGGTCCTAGGTTCGATCCCAGGCGCCGGCGAGAAACAATGGGCAGAGTTTCTTTCACCCTATGCCCCTGTTACCTAATTGTAAAATAGATACCTGGGTGTTAGTCAGCTGTCACGGGCTGCTTCCTGGGGGTGGAGGCCTGGTCTAGGATCGGGCCGCGGGGACAATAAAGCCCCGAAATCATCTCAAGAAGATAACCTAGGTTGGGTTCCATGTGGCCTGGGGGAAGGTTCAGTTCATTCCGTTCTGGATTGGGACACGGGTTGGTTCCTCCTGCTCCACCTTAAGCATTGCTGTTCCATCTGCTGAGGCATCTGTTGTTTGTTACTGAACTTGCCCCAGGCGGCTCAGCAGTTGTTCAGCCTTCTCCTTGCCTGTGGGGTGGGTCCTGTGAGCCGAGTTTGGCTCTGGGCACTTTCATGGTTCTCTGGTTCCACCAGTTTTGTCACTGTCTGGGCTGATGGATTTGGCCCGTCATCCAATTTCATCGGATCTTATTTCGCTGGTTTCCTCTTCGGGCTTTTAAGGACTCGACTCTGTCATGCCCTCCTATCTCGGGGGAGCCGGTCGGCCGAGCGGACAGTATGCTGGACTTGTGATCCTGTGGTCCCGGGTTCGATCCCGGGCGCCGGCGAGAAACAATGGGCAGAGTTTCTTTCATGCTATGCCCCTGTTACCTAGCAGTAAAATAGGTACCTGGGTGTTAGTCAGCTGTCATGGGCTGCTTCCTGGGGGTGGAGGCCTGGTCGAGGACCGGGCCGCGGGGACATTAAAGCCCCGAAATCATCTCAAGATAACCTTGCCCGTCAGATTGCTCTCAGATGCCTTTGATCTTGGTTGATGCTTTGTGCCCTGTGCTTGCTTCATCTCCCAGGGTTGTTGGTGAGGTTCAGACCTTTGGGCTGATTTTCAGGGATGTGGGTTGCTTCCTTGTGGCATGCCCTCCTAGGAGGTCCTCTTCCTCCAGGCTCCTTTCTCTAATTCCATTCAGATGGCTCCCAGGTGGTTCTTTTGCTGCAGGGAAGTCACTTAATTCTTTTTTTTGTGGATGGGCTCTTAGTATGGCTTGGCTTCTAGGGGTTTAAGTTCTCCGTGCAATTCCTGTACAAGGTGTGTCCAAAGTTCTCGTAGATAGTTTATATTGGTTCTGGCTCGTTTCCTTGGCGTGGACCGTCAACGATATATCCTTCTGATGGCTCTGCGAGGCATTCGGTGTTCCCATGGTGGACTTCTTCACGTTGGCTTGGAACCGGCTGCTTCCCTCCCACGTGACTTCATTCCTAGATCTCAAGGCTCGCATAGTGGATGCTTTGTGGCTCGACTGGTCGAGGTGGGCTTTCATTGGCCTCTTTCCCCAGGTTCAGCTGTTGCTCTGTGTATTGTTAAGGTTGGAGACGTTTGTCGGGAAAGGTAATCCTTCAGGCTCTTTGGTGGCCAGCTCTGCCTTAGATTCTAAGTGGACCAGGCTGCCCCGAGCCTGGTTCTTCGAACTCGGAGTCCGATCCATGGTTTTCCATGGCTCTGAATCTTGCAGCAGATCGGCCCAGTGACTTATCTTACTGGTTTGTGCTCTGCTGATTTCCATGTCTGTAAGTTTTGGTCTCAAGTGTACCACTGTTTGTATGTGGTGCTGGTGGCTGATTTGTTCTTGTCCCACCCTGTGTTTTCATCAAGGAGATGGTATGAAGTGTCCTGGAACTCTTTTTTTTACTGTCTCCACTCGATCATCCGGACTATATGGGAAGGACCCCCAGCCGGATTAGCACGTTTTTCGGATAATGGTACTTTTTCACCTACGAGTCCAAAACTAACCATTTCCAACTATTTTTATACTACAAATAACATAATTTGAATTGACATGCCACATATAATTATTAAATATTCAACTAGAAACCTCAACTTACCTTTTTGTTGTTCGTCTTCTTGATTGATGACACATCTTGAAGTTAAAAATTCTTGACAATTTACGTAACTTATAGTAACACAACACTAAAATTAACACTTAAAATTACTGTACAGTTCATTAGGCAAAGTTAGTTCTCACTGTCTGCTGAGGATGCCTCACTGGTTGAAGGCACTTGGGTTGCACTTGTTGAAGGCGCTTGGGTTGCGCGTGCCGCCTCACTTGTTGAAGGCGCTTGGGTTGCGCGTGCCGCCTCACTTGTTGAAGGCGCTTGGTTTGATTTTCGTACCATATATGAATCAAGTGTTGCTTGCCTTCTGTGTTCACTGGCCAGTTGTATGATCAGCTCTTTTGTTCGCCTAAGGTACGGATACATGTTTCCAACCTCTGGATGAGCACAATTTGATGAAAAATTTATTAATCCGTCAACATACGTCATGAGTACACTGTATTTCGTGGTCATTGGTGTTGGTTCTTCACTGCCTTCTTCATCCTCTTCGTCCACCTCACCAGTAACAGACTGTAGAATCTCGTCTTCACTCATCACACCATATCCTGGATCATTGGCATCTTGTTCAAGCCAATCAACCACATCCTGTCTTTCTAAGTTTTCACCGGCATTTCTAAACATTCAATGGATTTCATCTGTAAATCCTTCAAAATCCATTTCTTCATCTTCCTCATTTCTGAACGTAGACGTGAGGAGTTTTTTCCAGGAATTTTTCAAAGTCGATTCCTTTAATTCACTCCACACCTTGGCCCAGTTATAGATGGCTTCCTTGATTGTATAGTTCTTCAAATTCTGAAGGTTTTTTTTTAGCCCTGTTATCCACACCGAGTTCAATATCTTCCGGAAGTGGCAAAGCCACCAAAACTTCGTTTAGCATTTTTTTGGTATACAACCTCTTCGTAGCACAGATAACTCCCTGATCCATAGGCTGAATGAGAGAGGTTGTGTTAGGAGGAAGTGCCATACACGTTATCTTGCCATCATGTGAGGTTAACGTGTCAATTCTGGGGTGGGCAGGCGCATTATCAAGCAACAGTAAAGCCCGAACTTCGCTTGGCCTTATTTTGAGTTTCTTAATTTGATAGGCACGAACTTCCCTGCAGAACACGTCATGAAACCAGGAAAGAAAGATCTCCTGTGTAAACCATGCATTTTTTGAGTTATAATATTTCACTGGCAGTCTGTCCATGCAATGTTGCAAGGCTCTTGGTTTCTTAGATTTGCCAACAATTGCACACGTGATTCTGTCTGTGCCGTCGGCATTCGCACACATCATGGCTGAGAGCCTGTCCTTGTTGACCTTACGTCCTGGCACACAACCCTCACTCCTCATTGCTAGAGTTTTTTCTGGTAAACTCCTCCAATACAACCCAGTTTCATCTGCATTATAAATTTGATACGAATATATATTATTTGCCACAATATATTCTCGTAATTTATGTTTAAATGGTTCTACACTGCTTTCATCTGCACTCAGTTTTTCACCGACAATTTTCCTCTTCACAATATTGTGCCTACCCTTGAACCTTGCAACCCACCCTTCACTCGCTTCGAAATTCTTTATTCCAAGGCTTGCAGCAAACCTGCTTGCAGCATTTTGTATTTCTGGGCCGCGAATTGTCACGCCAGCTGTGCGGTGCTGAGCAAACCACTTGTACACAGCCTCATCCAACTGCACATGCGTCGAAGTTTTCATAGTTTTTCTACCACAACCTCTGCTAGTGCTTGCACCTTCACTTTCACAGGTTGAAATGAATTGCATAAGTTTCTCTTTTTGTTTCCTTATATCAGAAACAGTACTAGTGCCTATATTAAATTCCTTGGCAACACTTGAGGTCGACCGGCCATGTTCACAAAGTTGTATAACACGTAGCTTGTCCTTAAGTGTTAGGACAACCTTCTTCCTCTTAACACCTCCAGAACGATTCATGCTGCTACCAGACATAGTCTTGGCCAAAAATGTTCAAAGTTACTATGAAAATAAAAAAGTTATTTAAAAAAATATTTCACTAATGGCGCGGCACTGTGGTGTAACACGAGGGTAGAGAGCACATGGCTTGACCAGGCCTGGACGGGTCCAGTCGGGGCAGGGAGGAGGCACGTTACGTAGGCCGCCAGGAGGAAAAAAAAAATATATATTTTTGAAGGAAACTTCAGCCTGTGCAAATTGTTTTTAGGAAACTTGTATGGAATTTTTTATTACATAATTACTAGTATTTCTTTTGATTTTGGCTATGATGAATTGTTCTAAAATTGATAGTAATTACTGTACTGTAGTGTATAGGCCACTCCCCATCCCCCCCCTAATCCCCCCAGGTGGTCCCTCCCAA